AGATGTTAGGAAGAAATTCTTTACCATGAAGGTGGTGAGGCACTGGAACAGGTTGCCCAGAGGAGTTATGGATGCTTCTCCTCCAGAACTGTTCAAGGCCAGATGAGATGGGGCTTTGAGCAACCTGATCTAGTTGAAGATGTCCCTGCCCAAGGCAAGGGGGTTGGATTTGATAATCTTTAAAGGTTCCTTCTAACACAAATATTCCTGTGATTCTATGAAAGGAATTCCTGTGCCAAGGAAGAAACAAGCAAAACAATTAGGATTCACGGTATGAGATCTACCTGTGGGGAAATGGGCCCAGTCATGGGTTACATAGGGGCTGATGTGAAGCCGTTCTGGGGATGCATCTCCTTTTCAGACTCCCACATTTGGGCGGGGGTCCCTATCCTATTGCATTCCCAAATTTCCTCTTAGTCTTCCTGCCCCACATGTACAGTCTCACTGCTCCCCTACAGAGGGCTGAGGCAAATAGCAGTGCTGTACACCCCAGCCCTTCTCTTCCTCCTGCCCAAAGCATTTCCAGGATCTCTTCAAGAGCTGCCATCATAATTTGTATATAGCTTGGTAAGCTTTGGGGTAGATTCATAGCACTCCTGCAGAAATGGCGGGTAACATAGTGTGGAGAATGCAGTCCTGGGCAAAATTATGGGATTTCTACTTAAGGTTGAGGAGAAGCATGTGAAGGATCCTTGAAAGCAGTCAGTCAACCCATTGCTTGTCCCCCACACAACCACTGAGCCCTTGGAAACAGGACTTCTTGAATTGGTGCCAAAGCAGGACCCTGGGGTTTTTAACAACTGGGCTCTATGGTGGTGCAGAGGGCACGCAGTCTCCCAAGGCCCTGCCAGCCTCCCTTCCTGCTGGTGCCAGAGCCTGTGAGCTTTGCACTGGCCCACAGCACACCCTGCATCCATTTGCCACAGCAGCTTGGTGCTTCTGTTGGGCTGATTTAAGTTCATGTCCTGTCGCAAGCAGCTGGTTACATTTGCACCTCTTATCCTGCAAGGGCCAAAGTCAGGCTCTAAAATACTGTTGATTACTCAGTACCTTTTGCCTGACCCAGGAAGAAGGTGCTTTACATAGAAATCTTATTAATGATGCAGGTGCAGGCTTCAGTAAAGTGAAAGCACTTCTGATTTTATCTGAATAATTAAATTCCATCAATAGGACATTACAGGACTACTATTTAAAATTAATAACTGCAAATGCAATTCTGACATACAATGGAACCCACTGAAATGCAATTGATTTTTTTTTAATAAAATGCTTTATATCTTTCCTGGCAGTTTTACAGCCGCTTGTCTGTAAGTCCCAGCTGATCCTGAGCAGCAAGAGAGGGGTTTGGTGTGGTTTCTGAATGTTTTTAACCTCCAAAAATTAGGAAATTACTCCAAAACCAGCATCCAGCATACTGATGCTGATGTTTAATGGACCTCTAGTAAACTGATGAGTAAATTGAGAGTAAATGAAGTCATGTTTGGAAAAGTATGTCTCCTCTGCCTAAGAAGATGGGAAGATAAGGGATCATCTAGGTCTGTACCAAAAGCCACATTTTCTGAGAAATAAAATCTTCCTTTTCCCCAGGAACTACCTATCTCATTCCCTACTGGCAGCTTTAACTGTAGTGAATGTATTGAAAAAGCCAAGAGAAACCATCCCTGGCTGACACCATCACAGATTTGCACACTCATGCAAGTATAGTAGGATAAAGTGTAAGGTTCATAGGAAAGCACCAGAGCTTTCCTCTTTGGACAACCTTCAAACAGCACTGGGGATGTCTTTATGTCAGCGTGCTGTTCAGCATTTCATCGTTTCTTCTGCCTTAGCTTCATTCATCACCTACAGGAGCTTATCGAAGTTTGAATAGTGCTGTGTGACTTCTCCCTCTCTTCACTATGATGTGATCGGCTCCTGCTGCTTTGCATATTTTGATAGGAAGGTTGACAGTCAAAACCTTTCCTGCTTAGTGAAAAAACTTACCCTGTCTGTCCTTGCATGCTGCCAGAAAGATATTTTTAATACAGGCTATGACTTCTAATAGCAGGCAGATGGAGATAAGCACTTCTCTCCCTGGTGTTTTTCAGCTGGCTTAGCCAAGCAGTTGCTTGGAGCATCCCCAGTGGAGGAGCTCCTCCAGTTTTCCCATGGGAAACAAGAGGATAATGCAGTGGCAGCCTTTTGAGTTACACTTGCTACAGGTCATATAGCAACCAGAAGCCTACCCTGGCCTCAGAGAGGATCTGCAGTGCCCACAGGAATCATAGGGTGGGTGACCCTCAATAATGATGCTTACCTGCACAAGGCATTGGAAAGAAGAAAATTTGCCACAAATTTGAAGCCAGGGTCAATTTTGCCTGCAGAGATCTTTTGTTTCTAGAAATACTGTCTTGATTTAAAAATGTGATTTTGATAGCAACAGGTTGGGTGGTTTTTCATGTAAAGGGCTGGAAATGAAACCCATCAACCTGGTTTCATTTCAACAAGAGCTATTGGGCAAGAGGATGGGATAAGAGAATTACTCTTTCCCTGGTAGGAATTGAGTGTGCCACTTTAGAAATAGGGAAAGAGAGTGCTCCTTTGGGAGCGCAGAGAAGGGCTACTTCCTACGTGACCTTCAGAAAAGCAAAGACACAAAAACTGGGTTAGCCCAAATAAAAGATGTACTGACCCACTGCAGTGATGCTCTGAAAATAAATGAGTACAAGCTTGGAAACGAGTTCTAGATGGGCACAGTTTAACAAGAGGCTATGAAATATTTCTGTTTCCCAGGACCAGGATCTGGAAGAATTTTGTCCCCAGGTTTAGACTCTCTCAGCAGAACCTCATGGATCAAGAGTATCCCTGCATACCTGTTCTCCAGCAGAAGTCGAGCAGTGGCCCTAGAGCCAAAATATGAGCCCAGCCACCAGGACTGCCTCTGCTGGCTTTGAGAAGCTCCTGAATTCTACTTGGAGACGAGTTTTACCTTCATACAGCCACACTTTCTCTCAGTGTAGACTTTTCTCCCTGTCCTTTGTGTCCTTTGTCTGGCTTTACCAACCACCACAGGTTTTCCCTATACAGGGTGATGTCATTCTCAGGCGTTTAGCAGAAACCTGGTGAAGGTTTGCTAGAACTCAAAGGGCCTGAAAAATTATTTTATCCCTGCTTGTCTGCTAGTGATGGGAAATACAGAAACTGAATCTGAGCCTTTGCAGTCTTGTAGTTTTAGTAATTTGTAAATTTAATAATTTAGTACTGTGACTATAGCTCCACACAAAATTGCTTCAGCTCTCTCCTCTCCAGGCACAGTTAGGTGCACAGGGCCACCCAAAAGGAAAGATGTCATTCTTCTGAGGGCTTTCCACAATAAGAAAAACAATAAAGGCTGTGAACCTGGTTGCCCTGCTACTTTTAATTTCAAATCCTTTTTTTTTTCTTTTCATAGGTCTGAAGTAATAGCTTATAGCACGCTTTAATGGTAGCTGTTACAACAAAGTGAAAGGTTGCTTCCACGGTAAAAGGAAGCACGAAAGTCCCCAAGGCATGCTGGAGTGTCCAGTGCCGAACAAAGACAATGACGTTTTAAAATCTGTGAACTTTTGGCCACGGTGCATCGCTGACATTTGTAAGGGTGAGGTCACACATCTTGGGAAAGCTGAGCGCCCATAGCCTCCGTCAGCCTGATTCGCGGCTCCGCTGTAAAGGGGCTCTAGTCCCCGTCGGTAGTAGAGGTGGAAATTTCCGCGCCTATTTCTCCGACCCCCTGGAGCAAAGCTTGACTGGGGAACCTGAAGAAGGCAGTGTTCAGGGTCTGGCCAGATGGATGCAGCGCAGGAAACAAAGCACGGCAGGAAGGTGGCAGAGTTGCTCCGATTAACCAGAGGCTTTCACACTCTCTCAACACAGAAGAACATTTACTGAATGGGAATAAAGGTTAACCTCAGTTTCTTGCAGGGCTGGATGAAAAATCAGCCCTTGCCTCTAGAAAAAATGACACAGCTTTTGCCGTAACTCCGTGGTGAGTCGGGTGGCTCGCAAAGCTCTCAGCGAGCCCAAGTGCAAGGCGAGACTCGGGGCGGAGGCGGTCACACACCGGGGACCCGGCGAAGTGCCGGCACCGCCACCTCCACCGCGGCTGCCCCACCGCCGTACTCAAAGGGCCGCTTTCTCGGACGTTGCCGGGGGTAGGAGCCACAAGCCAGCACACGGACTCTTCCTGCCTGGGGAGAAGGAACCGGTGACCGGCAGTAGGGACGAGGTGTTCCCCCAGAGGTGGGGACGGCTCTCTCCGGCGCGGGGGCGGTGTGGCGCGTGACCGCGTCCCGCCCCCGGCGAGGCGGTGGCAGCGGCGGCGGTACGTGCGCGGGGCGGCGCGGCGGCAGTGCCGGCGCGGAGCCGCGGGGAGCCCCGAGCCCGGCGCGGTGGCGGCGACGCGCAGCGCGGCCGCACCCATGGCTAGCAGCAGCAGCGGCGGCGGCGGCGGCGGCGGCGGCAGGTAGGGTCGGGCGGGGCGGGGCGGGGGCCCGCTCCCCTGGCCATGGCTCAGATGGAGCCCCCGAAGGCCGTGCGGTGCTGGCGCGACGCCGCCCTGCGTGCACGGAAGCTGCGGGACGGCCCCGACGAGCCTGAGCCGGACGCAGGCCCACCGGGAGGGCCGCCGCTGCCCCCCGGTGCCGCTGCTCCTCGCCGCCCGTCCCTGGCAGCGGCGGCGTTGGGGGAGCTGGAGGCACTAAACCTGAGCGGCCGGGGGCTGGAGGAGCTGCCCGAGGAGGTGGGCGCCGCCCTGAGCGGGCTGCGGGTGCTCAGCCTGCGACGCAACCGGCTGGGTCGTCTGCCCGCCGCCGCCCTGCGCCACCTGGGCCGTCTGGCCGAGCTCGACCTCAGCCACAACCGGCTGAGGGGCCTGGGGGACGGCGGGGCGCTGACGGGGCTGCAAGGCCTGCGCAAGCTCAGCCTCAGCCACAACGAACTGGGCGCCGAAGGCCCGGGCCTACCCCCCCGCCTCGCCGAGCTGGGCTGCCTCGAGGAGCTCGACCTCAGCTTCAACCGCCTGCGCTGCCTGCCTGAGGGCCTGGGCCGTCTGCGGCACCTCCGCACCCTAGACGTCGACCACAACCTACTGTCCTCTTTCCCTGCCCCACTGCTGGAGCTGGCCGCCCTGGAGGAGCTCGACTGTTCCGGTAACCGCCACCTCGGGGCCCTGCCCGAGGGCATCGCTGCCCTCCGCCGCCTCAAGATCCTCTGGCTCAGCGGCACTGGGCTGGCATCTCTGCCCGAGGGTCTCTGCCAGCTGAGTGCCCTCGAGAGCCTCATGCTGGACGGCAACCGGCTGCAGGCGCTGCCCACTGACTTTGGCAGACTGCAACGACTCAAGATGCTGAACCTCTCATCCAACCTGCTGGAGGAGTTCCCCTCTGCCATCTTGGCGCTGCCCAGTCTGGAGGAGCTCTACTTGAGCCGCAACCAGCTCACCGTGCTGCCCCCTCACCTCTGTCAGCTCCACCAGCTCCGCACTCTCTGGCTGGACAACAACCACATCCGCTACCTGCCTGACTCCATCGTGCTCCTCCACAGCCTAGAGGAACTGGTCCTGCAAGGCAATCAGATCGCCATCCTGCCTGAGGGCTTTGGGCAGCTTACCCGTGTCACCCTGTGGAAGATCAAAGACAACCCCCTCATCCAGCCCCCCTATGAAGTATGCATGAAAGGCATTCCCTACATCGCAGCTTACCAGCAGGAGCTGGCCCATTCCCAGCCTGCCCTCAAACCCCGCCTCAAACTAGTCCTCATGGGCCTAAAGGATGCAGGTAAGACCCTGCTGAGACAGTGTCTCATGGAGGAAAATGAGCAGAGAGAGGACTTGGGAAGACTGGAGGCAAGGAACACCCAGCACAGAGGGTTTCCTGGGCAACAGCAGGACATTGGGAGGGTGACAATTGGATGTTGCCCCTTTCCGGAGCCTCAAGACAATTCCTCAACTCAGGTACCTGTCATGCAGCAGGTGGCTGAACGGCAGGATATCCCTTTTCATGTGCCCTCTCACCAAGCAAAAGGGGATACAACATCCCCTGCACCACCACTGCCACCCAATGCCCCCGGAGTACTACTAGGACTATCAGGAGGCAGTAAGGGCATCGAGGTGTTGGACTGGACAGCAGATGCAGAGAGGGGCCTGACATTCATTGTGTATGAGCTGGCGGGGGACCCGAGCTGTGATGTGATCCAGTCTTTCTTCCTCTCCCCTGGAGCCTTGTACGTGCTGGTGGTGAATTTGAGTGCCTACATCCCTCAGCAATTCTACCCCTCTGTGGGCTATTTCTTACACTGGCTCAGTTCCAAGGTGCCCCATGCTGTAGTGTGCATGGTGGGAACCCATGCTGACCTCTGTGCAGAGCGGGAGTTGGAAGAGAAGTGCCTGGACATCCATCAGCAGATTGCTCAGCAGGAGAAGAGAGATGCTGAGGGACTCCAGAGCTTAGTCCAGCAGGTGGATGAGGCTCTGGGACAGGACTTTGACCTGCGTTGCTCCAGCCCACATGCTGCCTTTTATGGGGTTTCAGACAAGAACTTGCGGCGAAAGAAAGCCCAATTTCAGTATCTTCTCAACCACCGCCCACAGATCCTCTCTCCAGTGCTGCCTTTCAGCTGCCTGGACCACTGCCAGGTGCGTCGCCTGCGGGACAAGCTCCTCTCAGTGGCTGAGCACCGGGATATCTTCCCAAACCTGCACCGGGTGTTGCCTAAGTCCTGGCAAGTGCTGGAGGAGCTGCACCTCCAGCCTCAAGCTCAGCAGTTGTGGCTTAGCTGGTGGGATTCTGCCCGGCTGGGTTTGCAGGCAGGCCTGACAGAGGATCGGCTCCAGAGTGCCCTGTCCTACCTGCATGAGAGTGGAAAGCTGCTGTACTTTGAGGAGCATCTCACCTTGCGGGAGCATGTGTTCCACAACCTGCCACGCCTCATAGACATCCTCAATGTCTTTTGCCAGCGCGATGCCACCGTGTTGCTCCAGAAACTGCTCAGCGACACCCAGATTGACGAACTGAGGACCACTCAGCTCCATCATTACGTGGAGGGCTTCCTGCTGCATGGCCTCCTTCCTGCCCATGTTATCCGTCTCCTTCTTAAGCCACACGTCCAGAGTCGTGAGGATCTGCAGCTCATTCTAGAGCTGCTGGAGAAGATGGGGCTATGTTACTGTGTCAACAAGCCCAAATGCAAGCCCTTAAATGGGGCGACTGCTTGGTACAAGTTTCCCTGCTATGTGAAAAACGAGGTGCCCCATGCGGAGGCTTGGATCAACGGCACCAGTATGAGTGGACAGTCCTTCGTGGTTGAGCAGCTGCAGATTGAATATAGCTTTCCATTCATTTTCCCACCCGGCTTGTTTGCGCGCTACAGTGTCCAGATTAACAGCCACGTGGTTCAGCGGTCAGATGGCAAATACCAGATTTATGCCTACCGGGGAAAGGTACCTGTGGTGGTCAGTTACCGGCCTGCCAGGGAAGCTCTGCAGCCAGACACTCTGTCTATTGCTAGTCATGCGTCCCTACCAAATATCTGGACAGCTTGGCAAGCTATTACACCTTTAGTGGAAGAACTGAATGTCCTGCTCCAGGAATGGCCGGGCCTGTACTATACTGTGCATGTCCTCTGTTCAAAGTGCCTTAAAAGAGGGTCACCCAACCCACACACTTTTCCAGGTAAGGCACAGCCCAGCTTTGCCATTCATCTCTTCTGGAGCTTTACCCCTTCTAGAAAGGTGTCTTATGAGGTCATCCCTAGCTCTGTTTCTTTCTTTTTTTTTCTTTTCTTCTCTGCTGTTACTCCTTTCCCTGGTGGTTTGAGTCATGAGAGAAAATATTAGGGTAGCTCCAAGGAGACAGGCTTAAAATAACCCTATTCTGAGAGGAGGGGGGTTTACATCCCCCTTTGTCTGTGCCTCTTCTCTCTGCTTTTTGGGTTTTGGCCCTGAGGGTTGGTGGTGCCATTGTTGAAAAATATCTGACCCGTCCTCCTTGTTTTGATTCCTTTGAATAGGACTGCGGTGTTGGGGTTTTTTTCCCCCTAGTTCCTTTTCCCCTATAGCTCCCACTTCCTTGGAGCTATTTGTAAATACGAATAGAGAGGCCTAAAGCGTTGCACGTGTCTCCCGTCTCACTTTCAACCCTCCACTCCCAAAACCTGGCCTATGCTGCAGTCTCTGAATGCAGGAAAGCTCCTCCTGGTAGGTAGTGAGTGTGTTGGTCTCCATAGCTCTGTGTAAGAAGAGTTTTCTCTGAGCTTCCTCTGAGCCCTGTCTCTAATGGGAAGCATTCCTCCCTGAAGGGAGAAGGATACTCCATCTTCTTTGTTTAAGTGTCTCACCTAGAACTGATTCCCAGACTGTGCTTTTTGGAGCTGTTCTCGAGAGCATTTTATTTTCCTTCCTCTCTCTCCCTACTTTTTAAAGCTGTTACTACCTCATAATTAGTGTCCTCCCTGCTCTGCTTGGGTTTGCTCTGTGGCTTGCAGGGTGCCATGAGAAAGGTGATTTTATGTGTAAATCTGTGTGAAATCAGAACACACGCTGGACTGTGAGCAATGCTCAGAAATCTGGATTTTAACAGCCATGTTGAAGGTGTGTTATGTTGAACATTATCAAGAGGTTGCCTGAAATTGTACAGGAACTGTATGCATGATTGACTTAAAGCATGCAGTAGTACTGAATTTGTTCGTAAGTAAATGTGATGAGTAAGGTGTGGGGTTTTAGGGGTTGTTTTGGGGTTTGGTTTCTTGGTTTTTGTTGGTTTTATTTTTTCCTCTGGATGTTTAGAATAAGGAGGTGCATTTTGCTCCTCAGCATGAGTCCGGGTTCCATCAAATATATCTCCCTCTAACTGCTCACTTATGTAAGAGCCATTGGACTGGGGGGTGAATCCATGCTGTGAGACATGCTGAGTGATTATCTTGCTGTTGACATGGTGTGCAGGGCAATGTGATCTGCTTTCCAAAAAAAAAAAACCCTGGAAACTGAAAAAAAAAACAACCCTCCAAGATTAGTCAGGACAGCAGATGTGGATGTGCAGGGTGATGGTGTGATGGGCACCTATTGAAGATTTATCTTGTGAATTCCAGATTCCAGTCATGCATCTCCTTATTTCTTTTTAACTGGTGAATGCTTTGTGGCTGTCCCTTTTCTCCCTGTGAGTAGATAATGCTTTAAAGGGGAAATTTGAAGAGGAGTCAGACTGTGTGCAGGCAGTCGGTGTTGTTGCTGACCCCAGTGATGGTCAGAGCAGGTTCCCAAGCATGAGAGGGGCATTGAAGGGCCTTTTCCTTTAGACTTGGCTGTGCAACGTTTGTTTCCTTAGAGGTGGAAAACGATTGCTCTTGCCTGGGAGCCAGGCCAGGTGTGCTGAGAAAAGAAGGCACAGGTAAGCAGTGTGCTGATCATGGGAAGAGCTGAGGCTTGTGTGCCAGGTCTCTGAATGACACCTGGGCGATGCTGCCTGTGGAAAGGGAGTTGCAGCATTTTTGAGGTGCTCCAGCAGGGAATTCAGGCCTTGCTATCAGGGGCATAGGGTAGCATCCCAGGTGTGACCCTGCCTTGCGACAGGGAATGACTCTCTTAAACATGGATACTGTGTGACTCTAGCTGGGAGAACAGCAGACAAACATGTTTGTATAGCAAGACTGATCTGTGGAAATGCTGAAGAATGATTAGACTGATTTATTGAGAAACATGCTTGTTGTCATGGATGATGCTTAAATCTAGCCCAGATTTGATCTGGGCTGTATGAAAAATGTGAAGTGTGATTTTACTTGGGAGGCCTCTATATCTGCATTTAATCTAAAATATTCCTTTGCTGTGTATCTGCTCTATGAATAAAAGACTCTTTAGGAACCCCTAAATGGCAATCATGAAGCTCAAGATTTTTTTTTCATCCCACCAGTTTTTTTGGTCAGGAGGCATGCATGTTTAAGTCATGCTGCCAAGATTGCTGTCATGCAAGTGAATCATGGTTGGTGTCATTTTTGACAAGATTTAGGAAGGAGAGGGTTCTAATGTTAGGAAAATATGTAGTGAGGGAGATGTCTTTGTTTTTCTCCAAGCTCCTTGCCAGGAAATTGCCAGAAAATCCCTGGCAATTACAATGCTCCTAATATTTAAATAGGTTTGTGGACTTTTTAGGACAGTGCTGAAGAAGTGCTTTGCATCCAGTTGACCTTAATAAGGGAAATTTTTCTCTGTAGACACTGCCAAATTTGTGCTCAAAAATGGAAGTGCAGTCTGGCTCTCTGTGTGGTTGTGCAATCTGTGTCGTCATTCATGAAACTGATGGCATATTCTTTGGTCATTCAAAAATTTTATTAGAATTCCCTTCAAAAAGGGAGTTCACGGGTTGAGGATTAATCTTTGCTTTTCCTCTCCTTCCCTTTCCTCTCTGTCCTGCACACTATAGCTTCCACTGATGATACACACAGAAATACTCTAGGAATAGGGCTACTGTGCGTAGAAATGGTTAATAAAAATTGAGATTGTGGATTCCGTTTTCTGAGGGTTTATTGCAAATAGTGAATGAAAGTGATATAAAAATGCCTTATTAGGGTCCTTTTAGGGAAGTTTTTGCATTTGAAACAGTTTTGTAGCTGGGTGAAGTAGTAACTGAATTGACATCTGAGCTGGAATCTCAGTGCTCTTTGAGGGTGCAGTCATCCACTTGGCTGATAACAACTCAGTGTGTTTAATTGTTTGGTTTGTTGTTTTTTTTTTTCCTTTCACATTTGCTCTATATATAAATAAAAATGTCCCTACCAGGTTAAAAAAGTAATATCCCTCTTTGAGTGACCAGCAGGAATGGTTGACCTCTCCAACTCTGTAAGACCTCAGTTGGGTCATCACAGGCATTGTGAAATGCTATCATTTGTATGTGATGTTCTTTTAGCCCCTGGACTGAAGCGCTTTTAGGTTATTCATGTCCTGTAAACTATTAAGTGACTTGGGATTGCAGGATGGAGGTGGTTTGCCATCTGTCTAATAGTAGACACATGTGATTTGTTTGGACAAATGTGACTTGATTTTTCAAGCTTGCATTCATATGCACCTGTGAACTGCCCTGCTGCTGTTTCCCCTTGCCCTGTGCTAGGCTGCGTCTGGGTCACCATGGGCTCTTCTAGACTGTCTTTTCTATAAGGTGTCCTGACATCCTATGCATGATTCTTCTGATGTTTGGGCTGGGAGGGATTGTGTTTGACTGGTGGTTTTCCTTTATTCCTGCCTTGTGAAGGGACTCTATGAGTGTAGACATAAGACATCCCAGGTTTGTGTCCAGCACAGAAGATGGACAAAATGATGTCACACAAGTAAGATAAGGTGATGCGCATTTTCACAGAGTAAAAACATGACAACAAATAGAAAGCCATGGGCAAAGATACACTGTGAGCCTAGCAGCCCCTGTCCAAAAGGATGCTCCAGAGCTATTGGGGAGCTTTGAAAGGTTCTGGAGGATTAGCAAGAGGTCTCCTGTGGAGAGAAGGTGCACATCTGCCACTTGCCTTGCTATCCCCGTCTTGAGACCAAGGAGGCGAGCAAAAGCCTCTACTCTGCCTGTCTCCCACATTGAGGATGAACAGAAGCCAGTCACCTGAAGGAGTGCAGATGGAGTTATCATAGTGTAGTTCCCCTGTGAGTCTCTCTGTCATGGCTAGAGCAGGGCTAACTAGGCTACCTTACACGATTCAAAGTAAACCATGCTCACCAGCCCTACGTTGGAGTCAAAAGGTGTCATGACCTCCCTTGGTGTCTGGGATGGAGTCAGGAGACAGAGAGGTGGAAGATCCTATGGTGTGTCATGCTGTCAAGTCACCCCATGCCAGGTGAGACAAGAACAGGTAAGACTGGTTTTGTCAGAAGGGCTAGGAAGTTGCTTCAGAATCTGAGCTCCTCCCCAGTGAAAGGCTCATGTCAGGTATCTAATTCCACTTTGTAGCCATGCTTTAAGTAGCTGGGGTTCTTTTCGTAAACAATTGCAGTAGAGCAACACCTGTTTATTAGAGTCTTTTGCTAGCATTAGGCAGCCTTCTATTTTCCCTGTTTGCAGGTGGAGTCTTTTTTGCTTGACTTTCAAAGTAGATGCTGTGGCTGTTTTGAGGCTGTTGTCATACTATCCTGCAGGCTGTGGCTTCAGCAGAGTACTGTGGAGAGATTCCACTGAGCAGAGACTGTACTGGAGACAGTCAGACAAGATTTCAGCAGCATGTGAGCTTTGGACGTGGATGATCTGGGTGGCAGGGTGAAGCTGAATAGGGCCCTGTGGTTCAGGAGAAGAGTATAGATTGATTGCTGGACTTGGGTGAGCTACTATCATTCTGTGGCTAGCATGGATAATTTACTTTACTGAGTAGAGCTGATTTCTGTGCTGTTGAAGAGACAGCCTTACTGGTGTGACTTGTTATAGGCAACAGTGTAGAAACACGGTTGCAGGCTATGTGCCACCATGGATTTTTAGAGATTTCCTTCATGTTAACCTGTATGTTGCAAGGTCAGTATTCGAAGTCCTCTTGTTTGGTGGCTGTGGCATCCTCTAACATAAACAACGTGTTGAAAGGGACAACAAATGTTTCTGTAGTCTTGGAGGAAGCTGAGAAATTGCCAGAGGAAGAGTGTGGTATGCAGCATGGATAGCTGCCATGGAACTCTCCCTGGTGGGATATAGATGTG